CCTCAAGCAATCCTCTCACCTCCGCCTCCCAAAATGTTGGGATTACAGGCGTGAACCACTGCATCCAACCTATCATCCCCTTTTTGGCAGATGATAAAACTGAGGCTAGAGGGTGGTATGCTCAGAAACTGAGTGGATAAATGAATGAATCAATGTGATGCTTTGTTTATTTATTCATTTTCTCTCCTACCACAATAGAAGTTCCATGAGTTCAAGGATCTTAGCCCTTAGCAAAGGTCTTTGCATAAAACAGATGCTCAATAGTCATTTGTTGTTTAGGGAGTGAATGAATGAACCTGGGCAGAAAACACCTGCTTTCTGTGGGAGGCTGAGGGGAGAGAATCACTGTGCTGACCCTGCAGGGCTTCAGCAGAAGAGCTCTAGCTAGCCCTGCCGCTGGAGCTGTAAGGCCTGCAGCAGGCTGGGCTAATGGAGTGGAGGAGGGGGACAGTGAAGAATTTTTTCAATGGAAATGTAAATCTGCTCAGCAGCAGCCTGACGAGAAGCTGGGGGCTGGCCTGAGTAGGATGCAGCTGGAGGGGCTGTCCATCTGGATCCCACAGGCCTCTGGATGCTGAGAGGTTATTCTTAGCCATCTTTTCTTTAGTCTTTATTTTCTCTTAATCAGGGCTCTCTTGATTTTGCAACTGAAGCCTTTTTTTCCCCCTTCTGTAAAGTAATGATTTTCCATATAGTAATTCTTTCCTTCTTTAGACTTCCCAGAGTGGGTGGGTGGTTGTTTTTGTGCTTAGACACTTTGCACATGGCCTCCCACCCAGCTCCTCCAGAGTGTTCTCATGGTTGGTGGAGACCTGCGATGTGTGCAGGGTATTTGCCCCCCTCCCTTGTTTGTTTACAACTAACTCCTTGCTGATTATTTGTTCCCAGTAGCATCCAATATGAGTGCGTTTCCTGCCCTTCCTCCTTCCGCTTTATGTGTCCTGAATTCTGCTGGATTAATTTAACTTGAGCCTTAAGAGGCAGCAAAACTGAGGGCAGGTGTCCCAGCTTCAATCCGTGGCTGCTGCGTCATAATCATAATCACCCACATGGAGACGGTGCTCCGTGGTTAACAAGCCCTGCCACATTCAGTAGCTCTTCCGTACTCAGAATCACAGGAGCCAAGGCCTCTAGGGTTTGGTGACATCCTGACATCACACAGATGAGAAGAGGAAGGGCCTAGGTTTCAACTTGCTTTGCTGATGTTAAATCCTTCACGTTTCTATCAGCTTAGGCAAGGATCACAGTCAAACGCCTTTGGGTCCATGTAGACAGTATAGATGAGAAAAGCTGGTTGGAATAGAGTGGAGTAGGGATTAGCAAGGATCGCAGAGAACTGGCCAGTGTGCCTTGCCTTGAGGTGTTAACATGCTAAACAGAGCCAGGGTACAGTGGCACGCGCAGTGTCAGTAGTCCCAGCAACTCTGGAGGCTGAAGTGGGAGAATTGCTTGAGCCCAGGAGTTTGAGGCCAGCCAGGGCAACATAGTAAGATTTGTCTCTTAAAAAAAAAAAAAAAGCAAAGCATTTAAATAGCAATGGGAAAAAAACCCCAACCATTTATTTTATCACCTACTCAGAGCCCAGTCTATAATCTACTTCTTTGTTGGTAGAAAAGGGAGAACTTTGCCTGTTACCCTTTACCAGTGGGTAGCATTTACTTGATAGCTTGGGCAGTCACACTACCTTGGTGGTAGTAAGTCTGAGGTATAGTTGAGGCGGCTTAGCATGTGAGGGATCAAATGAGTGATCTGTTGCTTTTAGAATGGTATTATAGACCCAGGTATGTACAGATGCTGATGCCCGTCATTGCTCCTCCCTCAGCATTCTCACGTAGTGGGTATTCAAAGTAATATTACATTAATGGTTGTGCAAGCCTCTGAGGCCCTTATTCACAGTCCTGGTCAAAGGTTCTACTTCTTCCCCACCTCTTTCCTACCTTTTTCATCCTCTTTGAAATCATGGGAACTGGTTGCTCAAGTCTACATGCTAAGAGACGGTGACAGTGACAGAGAGGTGGGCAGGCCCTCCAAAGGGACCCCAAGCTTACCTTCTCAACTAGGGCAAGGGCATGGAGAAAAGAGAGAGAGCATGGCTCATGCCTTTAAGTAGAGTAACTCTGGCCACTAGGAACAGGTGGCCTAGTGAAGGTCATGGTGTTGGTTAATCAGATACAAACTTCTCTTTTGAGAGGAGTTAGGGAAGTGGTCGGGTAAGGTGGGACTAGTAGGGGAACAGGGGCTGAAGTCTATCCTTGACTCTAATTGGAACGGTGGTTAAGACTGTGCTCCCAGAGAATGCAGATTGACACCTAACAGCTCTATGACCTTGGCCTGGTCATTTGATCTCCTTCCTTACACCTTGCTCCACAAAAGGTGGGTAACTGCAGTGGTGCCATGGATTAACTGAGGTAGGCATGGATTTTGGTCAGTGAAGGTGTTATTTTTGTTGCTTTGAGTTCTGCCTCTTTGCTGTACTCTTGAGCTTCTCATTTTAGCTAGAAATGGAGGAAGCCTTCAAGTGCTGGCAGAAAGAATATGGAGGGAATAATTCATAGAACAAGACATGACAATATTCTGCCTGCCAATTTTTCCTCTTCAGAACTTGCCACTTGCACAAATGCCCTGACTCCGTCTTTTTTTTCTTTTTTTGAGTTGGAGTCTCACTCTGTCGCCCAGATGGGAGTGCAGTGGCCGCTCCCAGCCACCGCAGCCTCGACCTGCTGGGCTCCGGCGATCCTTCCGCCTCAGCCGACTCTGTCTTTTTTCCTCCAGCTGTACACCCTTGGGTGACCCCAGTGAGCTGGAATCCTGGACAAGGTAGCTGAGACTCTGCTGATTGGGTGCTAGCTCTCCAATATGCCTTTTATGTGGTGGTACTGTGATTTCTCTCTAAATAGTTACTCCAACTTAATGGCCATTCGGTGGAAACTTCCCCTAAGTAGTTTTCTCATTTGTCTTCATGTGGTTTCTTGTGGGACAAAAAAATTTTAAAAGGCAAATTCTTTTATCCGAACACAATGTCACTGTGCCCCACCTCAATCTTTAGAGTTTATTTTCTTTGTTGTGTTTCACATATATCAATGCAAAACAGCTTATAGTAGATATTGCCTAGGCATAGAATTAGGTTCTTATGAATGTGAAGTATGAGGTTCTTATCAACGGGCAAAAGTAGAATTGAGAGACTGTATCATATACTTAGAAACTGATTTATTCTTCCTTTTCCCTCTCATAATGTTTCTGCTGAGACCAGTTGACAGAGTAAGAGGCATGGAAAAAGCATGGATAATTCTGAAATGCAGATAATTCACTAATTATGTGTATTTTAGAATGGATTCAGTGATACAACCTTGGAGATGATCTCTCTCTTTCCTTCTTTCCCTCTCTCTCCCTCTCCTTCTCTCCCTCTCTTTCCCTCTCCTTCCTCTCCCTCTCCCTCACTCCTCTTTTTCCTTTCCCACATTTGTAGCCATTCCTTCCTGGCTCAGCCCAGAAGAAAACCTTGACAGGAGCAAAGGGTATTGCCTATAGAATGATGATACCCAGGTGCTAGTTCCAGCTCTGCCATGTCCTACCTGAGTGGTCGCCATCCCTCTGGCTCTCAGGTTCCTTACGTATAAGATAAGTAGGAGACATCTGAGACTAAAGAAACTCTGTTTTTATTACCCTTCAGATTTCTCCTTGCCAGCTTGGGACCTGGCAGGCCCCAGTAACTGGTCACTTAGATAATCCCCAAGCAGATAAATGCCTGCAGGATAACTGAGAATTACCTCTAATTACAGCAGAGTCCAGCCACTCCAATAGACGCTGGTGATTTTGGCTGCTTCCCGGAGCCACCAGCCAACCCAGAGATGAAGCTGGCTGGAGAAGCCGATGGATATGTTGGAAAGGCCAGCATCATCTCTAAACACAGCATCTGGGAAATGCCCATGTCCCCAGGAGGAGGTCACTGAAACCCTTCACTTGGTGCAGTGCAGAGAGTCAGGCAAACCAGGTTCTGAGTCCTGACCCTGCCACTTACACCAGCCGTGTGACCTTGGGCAAGTTCTCTGGCCCCAAATCATTTCCCTCCTCCATAGAACAGGGTGGCAACATATACACCTTGCCAAAAGTGTAGTAAGGATTAAGGATTCTGGTGGCCTCACAGTGCCTATTAAGTAGAGGTCCTCAACTTAGTAAATGGTTGTAGCCGTGGCTATAACCTTGTTCCCTTCATTCACAGGAGTCTCTCGCGGGGTACTAGAGCTCAGGGCTCCTCCCCATGGCGGGGAGCACTGGCTCCTAGCCCGAGGTGCAGCCGTGCCAGGGAGCCTGGTACAGAGATGCTGCTGATGGAGATGCTGATTACATTCCCTGATGGAGGAGCCTCAGCATTCTGGGCCAGAGCAGGAGGGCCAGCAATATTTAGCCCAAGCTGCTTGGATCCGTAATTAAGTTATTTTCCCAAACTGCCATTTCAAGGTCTCACCCTCTTTCCTCACCTCTCTCTGGTCCCTTCTCTCAGGGTCCCTGCCAGAGAAGGGGTTTCCCTTTCCCTCTCCCCATCCCGAAGGAAGGTGACAGAGGGAGGAAGAGGCGGTTTTTATTGCAGAAGATGCAGCTAAAACCCGCCCTGGCCATTCAAGGTAGCTGCAACCCCAGCCTGGAGGCTCAAGTCTCCGCGCACGCCCTGTTTCTTGGCAAAGGCGAGCTCGCGACTCAAACCTGTCTCTTCCTCCGTCCTTTATCCAGACAGCTCGCAAGTGCTTTGCTGGGAAGGGCGATTAAATGGCACTTCGTGTATTTTTCCATTTTGTTCACCTGGTAAAGATAAGACAAAACAAAACAAGAAAGGCCCAGGATCGAAGTGTCATGTTTTAAAAGGGGCGAGGGGGCGTCACATGACTGCGAGTAACTGATTGAGCCAAGTGGCTGCAACTCGGAGTTTGCGGCAGAGCCGCCCCCTCCCGGCGGGGGCGCTGACGTCACGGAAAAGCC